GGAGGGCCTCAAAGGTGACTGTAGCGATACTCCACTGGGCATTGGTGCCCAGCGTCCCCAGGGGAGGGCCTCAAAGGTGATTGTAGTGATACTCACCAGAGAGGTGCACAGCACTTTTTCTAGGGTGAGTTCCAGAACTTTACTACCCGACTTCCTAGCCTAGGTGTATAATAGGCATGTAGGTTTGTCCAAGTACACTCTGTGATGTTTTCACAACCACAACACGGCCTAAGATGCATTTCCCAGAATGTGTCCCATCATGAGGCAGGGCATGACTGTATACCTGTGCTGACAAAGTCCGTGAAGACGTGCTGCAAGCTCCTTAAGGAGCGGGCACATCCACATTCTGTATGACTTCCCAGTGTGTCTGAAAACACTGGTCTCACCCGACCAAGTGTACCTGCCAACTTTTTCCCTAGGCAGCCTTTTAAATATGGTTGAAGTTCTCTGTCCAGAGAAGCACTTCTCAAGGACAGCTTAGGGAATGGCTGGCCATGAAATAGAGACTGCCCCAAGCACAGAAAAACAATGGTTTCTTTTCACTGCCACCAAAAAGATAGATATTTCCATCTGGGAAGCACTGGCCAGACATCTGGGAGGATAAGAAATACCTGAGTTCAGATGCCCACAATTTAAAACATCTGCCAATGTAAACCATCCAATGTCCCTAAGTCTGTAGAAAGTAATTGTCTTCCTAAAATAATAAATACATCTCCAGCTGCCCCACTGTCTGCTCATCCCTGAACATTTCAGGTGTCTGATTTCACTGGCAGTTCTCAGCTGCAAACCGTGTTCCCTAGAGAAGGGACAATGCACAAATGTTGCAAAGCATAGCCCCAGACCAGGCACGGAGGCTCACACCTGTAATCCTAGCACTCTGGGGGGCCTAGGCAGGTGGCTTTTTTGAGTTCAGGAGTTCAAGACTAGCCTTAGCAAGAATGAGACCCCCCCCCTCAAAACAACAACAACAAAAAACTAGCAACTTAGATGGTGGAGACAAGAGGATTGCTTGACCCCAGGAGTCTGAGGTTGCTGTGAGCTATGATGCCAGGGCACCCTTCCCAGGCTGACATAGAAAGACTCAGTCTCCAAAAAAAATGACGAAGTAGGAGCCAGTGATGGGAGATGGCTCCTGGGATGGATGAAGCCCCCTCAGGCCAGGGGTCCCACGTGGAGTGGGCCTAGGAAGAGCATCTAGAAATTGTAGGAGAAAAGCTCAAAACACAAATATTCTGCCCATGCTAGAAACTTCAGAAAGCTTTTAAGTAACATACTTTTATGTCTCAAAGTCCATCTGGGTCACCTGCAGGGGAGGGGACCTTGAATATTCTCCCGCCCCGCGCACCCCCTTCCTGGTCACCGGCTGCCACAGCTCTTCTTTCACGCTTCCCCCTGTCGTGTTCTGCCTTCCAGCCCATTTTCGGAGTCCAGCAGCAAGTGGCCAGACAAGCCAAGGCCTTCCTGTCCCTGGGCAAGATGGCAGAGGTGCAGGTGAGCCGGCGCAAGGCTGGCGGCGAGCAGTCGTGGCTGTGGTTCGCCACGGTCAAGTCGCTCATCGGCAAGGGCGTCATGCTGGCCGTGAGCCAGGGCCGCGTGCAGACCAACGTGCTCAACGTGGCCAACGAGGACTGCATCAAGGTGGCGGCCGTGCTCAACAACGCCTTCTACCTGGACAGCCTGCACTTCACCATCGAGGGCAAGGACACGCACTACTTCATCAAGACCACCACGCCCGAGAGCGACCTGGGCACGCTGCGGCTGACCAGCGGCCGCAAGGCGCTGGAGAACGGCATCAACGTGACCGTGTCGCAGTCCACCACGGTGGTCAACGGCAGGACGCGCAGGTTCGCCGATGTGGAGATGCAGTTCGGGGCGCTGGCTCTGCACGTGCGCTACGGCATGACCTTGGACGAGGAGAAGGCGCGCATCCTGGAGCAGGCGCGGCAGCGCGCGCTCGCCCGGGCCTGGGCGCGCGAGCAGCAGCGCGTGCGAGACGGCGAGGAGGGCGCGCGCCTCTGGACGGAGGGCGAGAAGCGGCAGCTGCTGAGCGCCGGCAAGGTGCAGGGCTACGACGGCTACTACGTGCTGTCGGTGGAGCAGTACCCCGAGCTGGCCGACAGCGCCAACAACATCCAGTTCCTGCGACAAAGCGAGATCGGCAAGAGGTAACGCCCGGAGAAGGGCGCGCGCGCTGTCCCCTGCCGGTAGCGGGGACACCGGACTGACCTGGGCGTAGCCTGGACACGTCTGCGCAAAGCGTTCTGGAGCACAACCCGAATCGGACTCTCCGGCACACGGAAGAGCCTTCTGGAAGAACGAAACTGCTATTTAAAAAACCCACAAAGACAACTTTTTTCTGAATGACCTTAAAGGTGATCGGCTTTAAAGAGTATGTTTACATATGCGTATCGCTGCACTCACATGGACCTGAGGTAGTCAAATTAAAAATAATACTAAGGAAAGAAAGAAAAAACAAAGGCCTCAACATTTTGCTCTGGGCCTTCTGCTCCTTCCACTGTATTCAAGGTCAAACATGAGTACAGTGTTCCCAAACGTGACCGAATTGTCGTCCTTTGCTTACAAGAAGTAGTCTCTCTGTATGGGATGTAATACGTGTCTCTGTTCATCTGGGGCAGAATCGGCTGTTTATAGACAACCCAGCTGCTTTCCCTGTGCAGCTTTGTAGAAGGACCTTGGCACAGCGACTTCTGCTCTGGCGAGGATTTAATAGCGGATTTTACGCTGCTAACTGGTTGGTTTGCCCTGGGGAAAAAAACTGGCACCTAGAATCCTTGTCGCTGATAAGCAAAGGAAATCCTGATTTTTTTTGTAAATTATGTGAGACAAGTTGTTTATGGATTTTTATATGAATTACAATTTACTGTACATCAAATATTAGTCTCAGAGGAGTTAATTTATGTAAAGTGTTTAAAAAGTTTATACTGAAAAAATAAAATGATAAAAACATGTGAACTGTGTGATTTTTTAAAAGGATTGCACCTTTTGTTATCTGTTATAGCTGTACAGTATAAATTATTATATTGTAGAGATATAACGATTATGCCTATAATGTCCAGAAGTGTTAATATTTTTGTATTAGGTTGAAAAAAAATAATGTGCAACTTTCTATTACTAGATGGATAGGACAGTGCAATCCTACCTGGGTGGCAAATCAGAAAACCGTTCTTTTCTCTTCCTTCTCTTAACTCAGGGTGGGAGGAGTTCTCTGGCCCATTCTCAGCCCTGGAAGTCCAGTGGGGAGTTTAAAGAATTAACCCCAGGGTTTTCACTATTACTGTCACCGTTCTTGAAGCTCCATCTCAAGATGGAGGAGAGACCACATCAGATGCCCAGGAAGCATTTGCGAAGGGGGAAGGCTCTGATGTCGTCGCTGTGACTGTAGGCATGCATCTTAAGGTCTAGGGAAGAGCAGAGACCCAGCAGTGGTGAGCAGCCAGATGGAGCAGGGTCACCCCGCTGCCAAGTCTCGGGTTTGGACCCTCAGGTCACCAAGGGGGACAGAAAAGGGAGACAAAGCTCCTATCAGCCCACATGCCCACACCCTCTTGGGAGCCCACACGTGCGCGCTTCCAGAATGAGCCCATCTGTGAGCACTAAGTCAGCCACAAAAATATTTTTAGAGAATATTCCTCAGTTCATTGAGCTATAGTACACACTGTTTTCCTCTATGTATAATGGTGATAAAACATAGCAAGTGAACATGTCGTAAGCATAAAGGTTCAAGTGATGTATTGAAAATAATTTTCTAACCGCTTTGTATGTATCCCATACTCAAAATTGCACAGTAGGCGTGTTTATTAAAACAGATTGGCTGGGAGAGTTTCAAAATAGCTACTGAATTTACAGTATCAGTGCTATTACTGTCTTTGTGTGTTAGGTAGCGCATACCGAAATCATTAATCTTCTAATGAATGCTGATATTTTATTAGAATGAAAGCACAGATTAGCATTAATTTTTTTATCCTGGAAGTCCTTTGGCAAGTATTATGCAGCCCAAATTTAGTAAACGATGAGATTTCAAACCACATGAACATGGCTCTGGTTTACATTTTCTTTTTTAACTGTTAACTTAGGTATTTGCAGTTCTGGTCAAGGGAACTGCGTTTAGCATGCTGTAAGTACTTTTGGGTGAAACAGGCTCTGAGACTAAATTCTCAGAAATGTTTCTGATGTATTGACCATGAAAAGCTTGTACCACGTGACAGAAGTGAAATCATAATCTTAACCCCTTCTCAACAAGGACTGGTCTTTATACCAGCACCGACAAATAACAAACAGATCTGGAGTAATTCCTGGTGCTTATTTTAGATAAAATCAAATCAACCCAATTAGTGTCTTGTTAGTAGGTATGACGAGTCTATTTCTTTCTAAAAAAGACTTGTGATCTGGACATGCTTTTACAAGAAATAGTGACCTTGGGGAATATGTACAACAAAAGACCTTTTTCTAAGAGTTGGGGGAGGGGGAGGGGGACTGTCTAATGAAAAGAATCAGCTTACAAAAAAAAGAAAGAAGAAATTGATATTCAAAGTATTTTAGGCAAAGCCAGTCAAAATGCTTTCATGATATTTTGAGATGTAAATTTTGTCTGATTTGTATTGTTCTTTTCATTTGCCTTCTTAACTTTATATGTGACCTGAATTTTCCATAACTTAATGACTATAGATTGCATCTAGGCATTCCAATAAAAGCCAACCCAATGTGTGTGTGTTCATATATTTTTTCAAATCTTGGGCTAGACAATATTGCCTTTGTGTTTAATGTGAAGGATGGAAATAGTTGGGGAGGGCGTTGATTCTTCTGGGCTGGTAATATCTTGGGGGGAGGGTTGTCCACTTGCCAGTTCAGCAGAGTCAACGTCACGGAGGATGACCCCATGGCCTACTTTAGGAAAACATTAAACACGACCTACAAAGCCAAACATTCTCACCATAAAGAAGAATTTAAAAAAACAAAAATAACCACCTATTACTACTAGAGAGCCGGCCTCATTCCTGTGATCCTGGCAGTAAGTGTGGTTAATTAAAACACTTGATTAGAATAATCAGTTTGGGCCTGATAAGCTCACAGCCTCCGGGAGATGTCTTAAATCTCCATAGAGACTGGCTGGTTTGGGGATGCTTAGTTCAGCAGTTGTGGGATGGCAGGGGCAGGGTGTGACCTCAGTCCGCAGAGGTGGACTCCACACTTGCTTTGCAGTGACAGCCTCAACTTGCTATCATGTTGATCCAACAAGAATCAGGTCACTCCACTTGGCAAACAGGTTTATTTACTTCTTGCATTAAATGGTAAGACACTCAAAATGGGAAATCTAGAAAAACACAGGTGAATTTGCTACTTTTCACGCTCTGCACTCCTTTCCTTAAAAGTAATGTCTGAGCAAATGCACAGAAAAACAGCGTAGGTAAAAATGATGTCTTAGAAAATAATTCTCTGAGTGTGGGTTGAGCTGTGAACTTGGCATCCATCTGTTTGTGTTCATCACACATTGCCTGCTAGATAAATGGGGTTCTGACTGCCCGCCCTCACAAGGCACCACAGCTGAATCTAAGTGCCTCAAGTGAAGACCAGTCCTCAAAGATGAGAAGAGACTCCTGCCTTTGATGAACTTCCCAGCCATCCATGCCCACTGATCGCTCTGTTCACCATCTTCTCTTTCTCCTTTTGTCTCGGCCTGCTCCTGAATGCAGCTGTTTCTCTCACCTGCTGACAGCAAATCATTGTCCCAGGTGCTTGGGACGAAAGATTTAAAAGGGGAAGCTGGAAGTCACTGGTCCACATCATGTTCTGTCCGAGGCAAAGCCGCCCAGGCAGTGCTTATGGCAGCTCACTCACTGTGGTACAGAGGAGGACAGGTCCATCTGGACCAAGAACTGCCCACCTCAAGTGGGTTGGGATGTCGTTTGAGCCCCAGCAGAGCAGGGTGAGATGAGATCATCCATCCCTGGGGTGCCTGGAAGGTCAACACTGCAAGATCCAACCCTTCCCAGTGGTACCCCAATTCTATCCCAGTTTCCTGCAGTGGGTTAACATGACTCCAGCACCCCAGTCCACAAAATGCAGCAAAATCTTGAAGCTGGCAGTGGCAGGGACTTAGAGGATTTTGTATGAGTTGTCCGAGTTCACAGAAGTGGCTCAGGCCTAGGTGAGCATCTCCCCAGTGTGGCCCATAGTGTGGCCCAGGGAGGCACCTGCCCGCTCCAGAGCTGCCATCATTCATGGCCCAACCCTGTTTCACATTACAGGCGGTTCCCACTGACAAAGGTGTGTTCTTAAGTTGAATTTGCATGTAAGTTGGAACAGGTATGTTTACCGATTACCTGTAACAGCCTCCATTCCTAAGTGTGAGTCATACAGCAGTCAGAGTCTGTAACTCAGGGACTGCCCGGGCCAACTAACTGGGCATGTGCCCCCTCTGCCTGCCAGTGTCGCCACCTCCTTGAAGAGCAAGCCGGCTGGGCCACGTTGAGGCTGTTAATGGCTGTATTTTCTAAAAGAAAGACCATTATTTATCTACATTATCCATAAGCCATTCATCTGGCTTTGGGCAGCCCATCCAGCCCATGAAAGAAATAAAAATGAGTTAGACATCATTAATACCCGTTTTAACCACAGAGTGAAGCCAGAGTACAAAGAGGTACTTATAGGCCACTGGAATTTTCTACTTTCTAATTGAAGCCACGTAATGAATGTTCTCTCTCCCCAGAGTTCCCATTTGCTATTCACTGCCTCTGCAAGCCACAGTCTCTTGATGTCTGTTAATTACTAACAACTTTTAGGTAAATTGAGTAAACCTTTTCATTTATGAACTGGCTTAAAACTCCATTGTGGAAGAATATGGGATTCCCAGAGTCCGGTGTATAGAGAATTTACTATCCACTGATTCTAAGCCTCCAGTAACATCATTATTCAGTTTAGAGTGAATGGGTTCCTCAAGGCAAATTTAATAAATCCTTCTGGGATCTAAGCCGAGGAAAATTAAAACCAGAAGCATAAATTGAGACTTTGAGGGCAAGAGAGTGGCTTGGTTACAGTCATCCTGCTTAGGGGGTGAACTGTCAGCTGAGCTAAGTCAGTCCTGGCCATAGGCCCTGGGCCTGCCCTAGGAAGGGAAATGGCTTTTTTTTACACGTGTGCAGAAATTTCCTGAATTCCCCCATGTCACCATTTCTTTATGGCAGAGCGTAACACATGCACCTGGCAGGATTTACAGGTAGGCCACCGAGTCAAAATAAATTCTTAAAAATTTTCACAAGTTATACTTGTGAAAATATATGGGTGTGAGGGGAGCATGAATCCCCAAGGAGTTAAAATGATAAGTTCTTTGACATGACAGAAAGGATAAAAATGGAACAGCCTGATGGCAGCCTGGAGTTCTTATCACAGGGTGATTAATGACAGAAAGGGAAGAAACTTCCTGAGCCCAGATCCTCTTCAAAACTAATCCTGGAAGAATCCAGTCTACCTGTTCTAGATAACATCCTACGGCAGTGGTCCCCAAAACACCTGTGTCCCCCACCCTTCTCTTTCTTTCCCCATCTACCCTGCAGAAGCTGCCTGGGCTGCAACTGATCAGGCCACGTCTAACCATATGCCCTCTGAGACTCAAAGGAACAGCCCACGGCC